GAAGCCCTTGTCAAGAAATTCCAATGGACTCTCATATGAACATTTGAAAATTTCCCTGTTCTGACTTTTTTCTAGTTTCCTGTCTAGAACTGTAATGCTAGTTACTCTTGCTTTTACTTCTCCTTCACATCTCCTATTCACCAGTCAAAGACTTCTTTTCCTCCTACAGATAAGAGTTATGCAATTTGGGAGTCTTTTAGATAGACCCACTGAAGGGATACTCCAATTGCTTCACCCTGCGTCCCTGGTCAGCATGGAGGAACCCAGAGCAATCTGCGACCAGACTCCCTATCGGCAATTTGGGTAACCTCTTCAGAGGATGGTGCGATAAGAATAGGAGGTAGCAATTGGCTAGGCAGTTAGGGGAAAAAAAAGACCCCAAAGAAAAGTTGCCAGTTTCTTGGCTAAAATTCACAATGTCCTTGGGCCTCTTAGCAACATACTCCATTCCAAAGGCCAAAAATGTCAAAAGTATTTGGGAGCTTTTATCTAATCCTTAAAAGATTTTAGGGTTACCTCTTAAGAGGGGGGAATGTCATAGTAGCCAAAAGCCCCATGAAAAAAATAGAAGAAGAAAGAGTACATGAGAAAAAAAAGAAACAGGATCTTATCAGAAAAGAAGTATTCTCAAGATATGTGAACCAATATTTTAGGACCAACTTCTCTTTTCCAACAGAATCTTCACAGAATTGTAGATAAGACTACAAGCCCTAGATCTAGTTTGCTGTTATCTTTCAAAGTGATTATATAATGAATTAATACATGTAAATAATTCAGTGTAGAGCCTGTTCCATAATATATGTTAAAATATCTGCTTTTACTAAGAAAAAAAAAGTCTAAGAAAAAAAAAGAAAGAAATACTGACCACAGCTTGTATTTTGAGCCCTTGGTCCCTGGATGATGATGCTACATGGGGAGGTGGTAGAAGCTTTGGACAGGGACTTTGCAGGTTCTAGCTTAGCCCTGGCTTCAGCACTCTCTGCCTCCTGGTCTCCTTCTGAGTGTGCAGCCTTTACTGCACGTTCCTACTGCCAGAAACTGAACCACTCCACTTTGATAGACTGAAACTTCTGAAACCATGAACCAAAATAAATGTCTCCTCCTTTGTCAAAAAAAAAAAAAAAAAAAAGAAGAAGAGGGAGTTGGATCTCCTGGAGCTGGAGTTCAGGACAGTTGTTAGCTACCATGTGGGTGCTGGGAACTGAACCTGGGGTCTCTCTGCAAGAGCAGCTAATGCTCATAACTGCTGAGCCATCTCCCTTTAAAAATTATTTTATTTTATTTTTCTTGTGATAGGGTCTCACTATGTAACCCTGGCTGGCCTAGAACTCTCTGTAGGCCAGGCTGGCCTTGAATTCACAGTTCACCTGCCTCTGCCTCCTGAGTGCTGGGATTAAATGTGTGTACTACACACCAGGCCAAACTTTCTCTCTCTCTCTCTCTCTCTCTCTGACACAGGGTTTCTCACTGGCCTGGAACTCACTAAGTAGGCTAGGCTGGCTGACTAGCACACTTGTCTCCTCCTTCCCTCTGTTGGGATTACAAGTATGTGCCATTACCCCAGCTTTGGCAGCTGCTTTGTCACTAGGAACACAGGATCATCAGTCAGATACCCAGAAGGTGTTCAGGATGAACTCAGAGTTTTTGTTGATGAGGCTATTTAAGAATAAAGTTATAAGTCTGTAATAGCGGCAGCGCCTGTAGTCCTAGCTACTCATGAGGATGGGACAAGAGGAATGCTACAATCTAAGAGGTGGGAACATCCCAGTCATAACCAAACTTTCTCTGGAAGAAGAGGAGGAGGAGGGGGGAGGAGGAGGAGGAAGAGGGGGAGGAGGAGGAAGAAG